TTTTTTTAATAATTATTTTTATTTAACTTTATTTATTTAAAAATTTTTTTTCTTTTTTTTTTTGGAGAGGTTTTATTTTGCTATAAGGCATGTGCGCTTGCCAGAGAGACAGAGAGAGATAGAGAGACAGAAAGCGAGAAATCACCCCCCAGGGGAGATGGCCACACTGCAATCCCTTCTCCTTCATTCTCCTCTTGGGATCTTGGGCACGCACACGTGCCCGGCATGAGTTTTAAGCCACCGGGTCTGGGACACAAACCGCGGTCGACTACATGGGAGTCCAGCGATATAGCCATTACGCTAACTGCTGGTCCCATTTATTTTTAAATTTTGACCAGAGAGGGATATAGAGAGAGAGAGTACACATGTGTGTGCAAGAGAGAGAGAAAGAGGGAAAATGAGAAAGCAAGTGGCCAGGTCCGGGACTTGAATCGTGGTTGGCCATGTGGGAGTCCAGCACCCTTAACTACCATGCCACCTGCAGGTCACCAGCCTTAGCTTTCTTTGGGGGGAGAGGTTTTTGCTATAGGGCGTGTGCGCTCACCAGAAAGACAGAGACAGAGAGACAGAGAGACAGAAAGTGAGAAATCACCAACCAGGGGGCATGGCCACACCGCAATCCCTTCTCCTCCATTCTGCTCTCAGGATCTTGGGCACGCACGCACACGCGCCCGGCGTGAGTTTAAGCCACCGGGTCCGGGACTCAGACTGCAGTCAACTACATGGGAGTCCAGCGATGAAGCCATTATGCCAACTGCTGGTCCCCACCCTAGCTTTTTAAAAAGCCTTCATCTGTTGAGATTCTGATGGTTTCATAGGTGTCTGGGCATGACGTCCAGAATCTGCTTTAAGAAATCTGGGGGGATGGTGGTGCAGTGGGGAAGTGCAATGCTCTGTGAGACTGACTCGCATTTGGGGGTTCAGGTTTGAATCCAGATACCTGCCTGAGTAATTGGACACGTGCCTGTGATCTGGGGCTCGCTGAGGCTGCACTGAGATTCTGTGGGGGTGTTCTCTCACTCATGGCAAAAAAAAAAGAAAAAAGTGGGATGGGCACCAGCAGATGGCATAGCAGTTAAGGCACTGGATTTCTACGTGGTTGACCATGGTTCGGGTCCTGGACCTGGTGGCTTAAACTTACGCCAGGTGTGTGAGCATGCGTGCCCAAGACCCCGGGGAGAATGAAGGAGAAGGGATCGTGGGGTGGCCATCCCCCTAGGGATGGGGGTGATTTCTTGCTTTCTGTCTCTCTCTCTCCAGCGAGTTCATGTGCCTTATAGCAAAAACCAAGGGGAAAAAAAAGTTTCCAAGATATGTTCTACACGCAAAGTAAAACAAAGAATGATCAGGATAACAGAAATCTTTTTTAAAGAAAATTGTGAGTTATGGAGATGAATCAAACTGAATAGCAGGAAGTTGAAGATTGTGGAATCTGGATACAGAAGCTCACTGTACTATTTCTCTCCTTAGCATGTGTTTGGAAAGGTCCATAATAAAAATTAAAAATGCGTGGTCAGGACGAGCAGATGGTGTAATGGCTATGTCGTTGGACTCCCATGTAGTTGACTGCAGTTCGAGTCCCGGACCTGGTGGCTTAAACTCACGCCAGGTGTGCATGCGTGCGTGCCCAAGATCCCGAGAGGAGAACGGAGGAGAAGGGATTGTGGCGTGGCCATCCCCCCTGGGGGGTGATTTCTCGTTTTCTATTTCTCTGTCTCTCTCTGACTTTCTGGCAAGCACACACACCCTATAGCAAAAACCTCTCCAAACATTTAAAATAAATAAATAAAAGTAAAAGTTGCAAAAATATAAAGCAACTCTTTTTAGCAAATGGGATCCCCTGAACACATCTTGCTAATCTCTGAAGCTGAGTGCGTGCTCGGGATGTTCTAAGAAGGTAAACGCACCACGGCCCACTGTGTACGTCACTGTGGGCTCAGGCCTGTCTTCGCTGCTAGATGATGAGCAAGCTGAAAACAAGACCCAGGCCGTTTGGGACTTGGCACACCCAACGCCTGCCACACAGTGTCCCCTGTAAACGTGCTCGGGCCTCCCTGTTTTCATGAAGTGGGAACAATGCCTGTGAACACCGCCTGTGGCCCCGCTCGATGTGGTGACATGAACACTGTGATGGTAAATCCCTAGCTGTCAGGGCCTCTCCCTGGGGACCTCACAAGGGACTTTCGGGAAGCAGCTGCTCTCCCAGTCTCCCCCAGGGACTCCCACCTGCCGAGGGCACTGTGCTCTGAGGGAGGAAGACCAACACAAAACCAGCCACCTGCTCTGGAACTCTCTGGCGTCAGGACTGGACTAAGCGCTTCATGTGCCCGGTGTCTTTGCCTCCTCCGCCAGCCCAGGGGCCGGTGTTAGGCCCACCTCTGTGTTACGGAGCAGGAGGGGGCAGAGGTCCTCAAGACCGAGCAACGTCCTGGAGAGAGCGGGGGTAAATCCTGGTCTGCAGCTTCCCCAGGCCTGGCCCTGCCTTCCCAGCTGCGGTTTCCTTCCCTGCAGACAGGGCAGCTCAGCTGGGGGCCTGGAGTCAGCAGGCTAGCTCCTCTGGCTCTGCTGGGCCATCTCCCTGCCCTCTCCGTGCCTCACCCTCCTTCCCACATGGAGGGTCTTGGACCACTTGGCCCCTGAGTGCCCTCAGCCCTCCCTCCTCCTCACCATGGGGTCGCATGATGAATTCACGTTCTCGCAGCTGGGCAAGTTGGCGTTGGGCGCCCAGAAGACATACTGGGGCTGCCCCGACGTGGCCAGGTACCCAGAGGAGAGTCAAGGAAAGTGTGGTCACCAGGGTCTCCATGGGCCCCTCCTGGGCACCCAGTACACAAGGGCGGCTAACATTCAGCCTCACTCCTCCAGCTCCGTCCAGGTGGGGGTTCCCCCAGAGAAAGGGGCGCCTTCCTCCAGCGGCACTGAGGCACTGCGTGGGTAGGCACTACCCTGTCCCGCGCCGTCCCCCTCCCTGCCAAAAAGGATACAGAGCAGTCATGGCCCAGTAGGCGCCTTGTCCGGCGCCGTCCCCCTCCCCGCCAAGGACCCTAGGCGGGGCCACGTGTGGCAAAGGATACAGAGCAGTCATGGCCCAGTAGGCGATGCAGATGAGCAGGAGGACGAAGGTGACCAGCGGGTAGAACATGGTGGACATCATGTGTCCCACTGCCCTGCAGAGAGACCATGGATGTCCACCAGCATGGCCCCCCTCCCGGCCTGCCGGTCCTCAGGCGTCTGGCCAGGTCCCCCTTCTGCCCTGCCCCACCCCCACCCAGGACAGCCATGCCGTGCACCATCTCTGCGTCCCAGTGCCTGGCACCCGTGCAGTGCTCGCTGAATAAACCAGGCTCAAGCAGCCCTAGGGGGGGACCCAGAGTCACGGAGAAACCACCTGGCAGGTAGCGTCAGCCGACAGACGCCGAGTGCCATCTCCTGACAGGTGGGGCAATGCTTGGCTTCTCCCTGCCCGGGTTCCTGACGTTCCCTCAACACCCACCCCTCCCGCCACCTGGAGGGCCTCGTCTGAGTTCGAGGCACTTGACGGACAAGTCAAGGAAGTCACTTAACCCCGTGACAACCCTGTCGCCCAGACAGGAACGGCCTCTGAGCCGCAGATGGGGAAACCGAGGTGCAGGGCTCAGCGCGCAGCAGTGTTAACCTGGCACCGGCGGCTCTGTCCTGTCCTCTGGGGCTCCTGCTGCCTTGCCCACACCCCACCCCAGTCCGCCCTGCCCTGTGCTCCTCGTCCCTGCGGGTCGGGCCCTGACCGGCTGGCCTCCTTCAGGAGGGCGATGGCGATGCGGATCCGCTGTCGCAGGAAGATGAGCAGCAGCAGCAGGACGCCCTCGA